GGCTAGGCTTACTCACTGTGTGCTCGGCCTGACCATAGGCCCAAGCCACTGAACTACTGGTGCGACTGATTCCCTGTGTGCAACTGAGCCAGGTGTGGGTAATGAGGCGAAGTGGCTGCCCACTGTCCCACAGAGGAGAAACCCTTCCCTGAGTCCCATCCCCAACAGGACGACATGCACATTATAAAGGGATTTAATGTGGCTAGGCTTACTCACTGTGTGCTCGGCCTGACCATAGGCCCAAGCCACTGAACTACTGGTGCGACTGATTCCCTGTGTGCAACTGAGCCAGGTGTGGGTAATGAGGCGAAGTGGCTGCCCACTGTCCCACAGAGGAGAAACCCTTCCCTGAGTCCCATCCCCAACAGGACGACATGCACATTATAAAGGGATTTAATGTTTAACAGGCTTTCAACTACTTACCGGGAAAAGGCAACACATTTCCTTTTCGTAAATCCCTCCCTTCCCCGATGTTTTTCATGTTCTTAGATTCCCCCAACTAGGGATGTTTACATATAGCTATGTAAACAAGTACTGACTACAGGTATTGCTCCCCTCCTCCCCCCCGCCGCCTCTGTATCAGAGGGAGCAAAGGGAGAGGGGGAGGCAGGAGCTGGTGCCTATAAGGAACCAGCTTTTAAGCTGTCTCTCCAAAAGCACCGGATCCCATGGAGCCGGCTACTCCCCCACCCTCACCCTAGAACTGCTGCCTCTGACAAAGATACAGCAGCATGAGCAGCATGGAGAGTAAGGGGGCGGGCAGAAGCCAGTGCACATGGGAAGCTGGCTTTCAAGTCACTTCCGCACACGTGTCATCTCACAGGGAGCCACCTGCCCCCCTTTGCTGCCTCCCACAAAGGCAGTGGAGGGGTGAGGCAGGCAGGAGCTGCTGCTTTAGAAGAGCCATCTTAAAAGCTAGCTCCCCATGAGAATTGGCTTCATGGAGCTGCCTCCCCACCCCTGCATGCTGCTGCCTCTATTAGAAGCAGCAGCACAGGGCAGGGAAGCGGGGGCAGGTGGGTTGCCGGAGCAGCCCCTGTCTTTGGGGAGCTTGGGCCCTCCACAGACAGGAGCTGCTGCTACCCCTGCTGCTGCCTGTATCAGAAGCAACAGCGTGGTGTGGCAAGGGGCTCCCTGGGAGTGGGACTGGGAGCACACTGGCTACCGGCTCTGTCCCCAGGGTCTACCAAATAATCCTATAACTGGTAAAATTTGGTTACATGATTACTGAATTATAAACGACATCTAATATCCTTAACCCCCAACCCTTTTTTCTTCCTTTTTTCTCTCTGTCTGTGAGCCTAGAAAAGTCGGCAGAGAAAAGTTGGAAAAAGATATACACAAATAGCAGTTCGCAATTTCTGTCTTTTTCCGCTTTTTTCCCCTTACAGAGGCTTTTCTGAAATTTGGCCCGTCTACACAGGGCCAAATTTTGGAAAAAAACTCCTCTTTCAAAACATCCTTTCTTCCTCTCACCAAGAGGAATACAGGGATGCTGAAAGAAAATGCCCACTTTTTCGGAAACTGTTCCAAAAAAGCGGACGCATTCATTGGATGTGGCAGAGCTTTTCCGGGATACTGCTGGTATTCCAGAAAAGCTCGGCAGTCTAGACATAGCCTAAGTCTGACTCTAAGCTCAGGAAGAAATAAAATAACCTAATTCTAGTTGTCACCCCTCACTGTTCAAAGCACTTTCAAGTAAGGTGAAGTGCCAGATGACCATTACTCCTCTGCTTTCTAACTTCAAACTCAGATTAGACTAGGCCTAACAAAGTTGCACCCCTTTCTTGTATCATCAGAATCATAGAATCCTAGGGTTGGAAGAGACCTCAGGAGGTCAATGAGTCCAACCCTCTGCCCAAAGCAGGACCAACCCAACTAAATCATCCCAGCCAGGGCTTTGTCAAGCCAGGCCTTAAAAACCTGTACGGATGGAGATTCCACCACCTCCCTAGGGAACCCATTCCAGTGCTTCACCACCCTCCTACTGAAATTGTTCTTCCTAATATTCAACCTAGACTTGCCCCAGTGCAACTTCAGACCATTGCAGAATGAGGAGCAGTCTGTCACCACTGAGAACAGCTTCTCTCCACTCTCTTTGGAACCTCCCTTCAAGAAGTTGAAGGTTGCTATCAAATCTCCCCTCACTCTTCTCTTCTGCAGACTAAATAAACCCAAATCCCTCAGCCTCTCCTCCTAAGCCAAGAATGTTCCCATTGCTTAGCTTGTTGATAAGGAACAAGAGATTTTATTCCTCCTGTTCATCACACCTACAATATTAAACAAACCAAGTAAGAGAGCTTAAATGGTGCATTTGGCTTTATTCTCTTTTCACCAACAGAATTAGTAGCAGGGTTGACTGGTGTACTGAGAAATAAACTGCTAGATTACAAGATGGACTTTTCAAAGTCTCACTCCCAAATTCTTCGTTTACTGTGCCATTCTAAAAGATATTTACTGTTTTGAATGTATACATGCAAGGGGCACACTTTCATTGTTGATGATTCAACAATGGCTATTACTTTTAATCAATCAGTTTCTAAGATTTCCTCCCTCTTTTCTCTAACCCCCCTCTAGCTTCCCTGCAGAGACCTGATGCCAGGCAAAAGTCTGGAGCACTCACTCACCTCAAACATCAGGCACGCTGTCACTTTACTAAGAGTGGAAGGGCCAGGGGATTGAAATAGGTATGAGGAGATAAATAAAAGTGTCACAAAAAGTCATCCAATAGCACGTCTCTACAGGCCAAAGATCGCGATCTACCGGTTGGTGACCATGGCTTTAGACTGTTAGGCACAACCAGTATCTGTGTATTTCTGCCTCTGTTAATAATCTCCAGTAAATAACATGGAAATATTTAATGAGAAATTCTCAAAAAAGCTAACAGCAAAGAAATACTTCTGGTAACATTCTGGTAACATAAAGGTAGGTTTTCTGAACTTGGGTGGCTGAAGTCACTTTGTCCTCAGCTGCATGCTTCACAAGGCATGCTATGAATGCCCAAAACACATTACACAGTAAGACATGACAAGTAATTAAATGCCTCAAAAGAGCAGCTTTGTTCATTAAATCAGTAAAACAATCTGAACTCATGTCCTGCTTGGTTAATAATTTGCTCCTTCTCTGTTTGACACTTTGATAAATACAGTTGATTATTTTCATTACATTATACTTCTGTAGCTCCTCCCCATGACCCACTGACATTTGGAGAGCTATTCAGTTCTGGAACTTTATTCCACCTCACCCTCAGAACCAGCCTAGTCCACAAACACCAACCCCTTGCTGACTGCACAACTCCCTTTTATTTCTTTCTGGGGGAGGGGGGGAGGGGAAGAGGAGGATCTG